CCCTCCCTTCCCAGCATTTCTATCCTGTCTAATTTCCAGCATTTCTATCATGTCTAATCCATCTCCTACACCTCTCACCTGGTCTCTTTGTCCTCGCCCTTCATCACCAGGCTTCCTGTTTGGGTAACTTTATTAAGTGCCCCGCCCCTTCTTTTCTGTCACGCCAGGAAAAGCCAGTGCTCACACCTGCTCCTCTGGGAAGTGTCTTTCCCAAACCTGTACATAATTTTTGTTGCTCCTCTTGGGAGTGTGTCCCAGATTCCCCACATCACATTTCCACCCCCAAGGCCTGAACCTGACACAGCCTTGCTCACAGATAAAGGCTTTCACAGATGCTGACTTTACAAAGAGAATCTCGAGGTTCTTCATGTTTGAGTTTCCTACGGCCACACTGATTTCTCTGTGCCCTTAGGGGTCTCTGTGGCTCCAGATCTTGCCTGACTTGGTCATGATCTCGCAAAGACACTTCTGCTTTATCTTTGTGAGCTACTGTGTTTTTCTCTTTCCTTCAAATGTGCCTTAGCCTCCATCTTGCTTTTATTTATCTTTGAGTCTGGTTTAGACTCGCCTTGAACTTGCTTTTGTTTCTTCAAGATGTTATTCAGCCAGTCTAATCTAGAGTTGTTCCTTCTTCTTGTCTTTTCCCTGTTGCTGGGTGTCCACCTTATCAATCAGTTGCACCACAGACACTGTGCGATGTGATATGAGGCAAGGGAGGTGGCATGATCAGTTACGCTTTGTCCAGGCTCTCTAGGGTAGAAGAGACAGATGCTCTGAAAAATTGCCCCCACTTGTGCACAGTCACAAGTGCGTGTTTGTGTGCTATTTACTTAGTCATGTCAGGAAGAGCAGTAAAAAACAAAAATCAGGAAGTCCAACATAGGATTGCCAAATTTTAATTTTTCCAAATGAGGAAATAATAAAGCCCTATCATCTACCACCACCACCAGTTCATTTAAGAGAAGATATCTTAACACCAAAAATGTAGGACGGTTAGTATCTCAGAATAAGGATCAACCTTCTAAACAGAACATATTTAGATTGCTAAAAGGATAAGTTGATGGAAGTTGAATCAGTGTTTGAGAGGGCATGAAGTAGCGGATTCTGTCCAAGGAGTGGCTCCACTTTTTCAGTTTCTTCAAATAGTGCCAGCTGCTCTCTTGCTGGGAAGCCAGACCGTTCATTAAGCCCAGCTAACCTCACAGTGGTGTCACTTGGTGTGTTTTTGCACCCAATTTTTTTAGGTGATGTGAACTACACAATGTTGATACACAACAATTGTAGCATCTTACGGTGATGTGAACTGATACTGGAAATGGCTCTTTTACTCTGTGGGGTCTGGATTAGTGCCATGTTCTTAAGGATCGAGGAGCTGGAGGGAGCTGAAGCAGGACCTCAGGACTTCACTGGAATTCAGCAGTGTTTACCCATCGGCTCTTTTGAAGCATGTGCTTAAACTTAACAATTCTTGATTCAGTACCATGAGACGATGGCTGAGATTATTCCTGAGATATATGTGACCTCTCGTCTGAGTTCCCATGGAACTTTCTGCTATCCTGCTGTAGCACTGTGACATTCCCCCTTGTGTCATAGGCCGAGAAAATACTCTTGAGGTTTCTTGTGTTCTTATTAAATTGAGAACACTCAGACCTTGGTTTCATGTTAACGATAATCAGAAAAAGTTTTTAAAGTCCATCCTGGGTTATTGAGATAAACTAATTGTATCAGGGTCCAGCCACACAGCTTGGTGCCTCCCATTTGCATGTGGAATTCTGATGAGTTTGGAGCCAGGTAACCCCGACTAAAGAGAAAAATACAGAGGTGGACTTAGTGCATTAAAGATGCAACAGCATCAAAACCCATTGCTGTCGAGTCTGTTCTGTCTCATGCAACCCCATGTGTTACAGAGTAGAACTGATCCATAGGGTTTTCTTGGCTGTAACCTTTACAGAAGCAGATTGCCAGGCCTTTCTTCCGTGGCGCCACTGGGTGGTTCAAACCACCAACCTTTAGGTTAATAGTTAAGTACCAACTGTTTGTGCTATCCAGGGACCATCAGTAATATCAGGTGAACACCAAATGATATCACAGAGCACTGTAAAATGAAGCCTGCAGCAGTGGTCCCAGCAGAGAAAAGGGGCACAAAATCACATCATCACACTGTACCCGGTAGCCTATGTGTGGGTATGTTCAGGCCCTACCCAGGAATAGGCAAGCATTTCAGGTCTGAAAAATGGCATCAGTCTTGTTACATTAATGTTGTTAATCTGAGTTTACTGTCTGAGTAATTTTGTTTGTATTTACTTGTAAATTTTTTTGGTCTCTGTCTTAGTTATCTAGTGCTGCTATAACAGAAATACCACAAGTGGATGACTTTAACAAACAGAAATTTATTCTCTCACTGTTTAGGAGGCTGGAAGTCCAAATTCATGCGCCAGCACTAGGGGAAGACTTCCTCTCTCTCATCGGCTCTTGGGGAAGGTCCTTGTCTCCTTTCAACATCTGTGGGCCTGGCGTTCATTGGAGATCTCCATGTGTTTTGGCATCAATCTTCCCCTGGGTCTAGGAGTTTCTCAGTGCAGGGACCCTGGATCCAAAGGACACGCTCCACTCCTGGCTCTTCTTTCTTTGTGGTAGCCAGGTCCCTCCCTTTCTGCTCACCTTTCTCTCCTTCTATATCTTGTAAGATAAAAGGTAATGCAAGCCACACCCCAGGGAAAGTCCCCTTACCTTGGATCAGGGCTGTGACCTGAGTAAGGATATTGCATCCCACCCTAATCCCATTAATATGACTTAATCCTGCCTCATTAACATAATGGACAGCTCCCTCCCAAATGGGACCATAATCACAGGTGTAGATGGTAGGATTTACAACATACCACAAAATGGAGGATAATCAGATCACAGAATGGAGGACAGCCACACAATACTGGAAATCAGGGCCTAGCCAAGTTGATACATATTTTGGGGAGACACAATTCAAGCCATGACAGTCTCCATAATTGTAAAAGTACTAAAAGAAGTTTGTGCCTAGCTTTATGTTTGCACATCTTAAGAAACAGTACGATAAATAATAATTGAATAAAAAGTAGATTAATCGGGGATCTGCCAGGATTATTTTTTTCCTTTAGAGGGGACCATCTAGTACCTACCTGAGTTTGAATGATTCCCATTCAGGAATCTAAGCTCCGTGAGGGCAGGTGGAGGTTTTGCTTCATATTTGTGTCCTGCATGGCTCCTTTTCACTTTTGGACACTTTAGGGAGATTCATTGATTTGAAATGAAGAGTTAGTTTACATCGTTAGTTTTCTGCCTTAATGAGGTCCTGGCTATATGTGCAGCCAACACTGATTGCCCACATTAATGTAAGGGAGCCCTCCAAAATAATTTGTTTTGTTTGTTTGTTTTTGGAGTGATAAATTTTTCTTATTGATGTTTGCTTAGGATAACTTACATTTGCATGACCTAAACATTTACCAGGATGGCAGTAGTTGAAAGCAGCCTGAAGCTTGTTTTCCACAAGTGACTCATCAGCCCAGGGACAATTGAGGCTTGACTGTAGCTGAAAGCTGGAAGTGAACTTTGACCTCAGTGACTACCGAGACTACTTGTACTGTTGTTGCTAAATATTCAGTCATTCATTTATTAACTTTTTATTATGAGGATTTTAAAGATAAACAGAAGTAGAGAGACTCGTATAGTGAACTCCCATGTACCCATCACCAGCTTCAACAATAATCAATTCTCGGTCACTCTGGTTTCCTCTATACTCCTGTCCACTTCCCCCAGCCCAGATTAATATGAAGTAGATCCCAAACATCCTATAGTTGTGTCTATAAATATTTCCATGATATCTCTTGAAGATAAAGACTCTTTTATGAAACATATCTTTGTTGTTGTTAGTTGCCATCAAGTTGGCTCCAACTCATGGTGACCTTTTGTATAACAATGAAACGTTGCCAAGGTCAATGCCATCTTCATGATCCTTGGTATGTTTGAATCAATTGTTATAGTTATTGTGTCAGTCCATCTCACTGAGGGTTTTCCTCATTTCCACTGACCCTCTACTTTACCAAACATGATGTCCTTTTCTAGCAATTGGTCTTTCCTGATGATGTGTCCAAAATAAGCAAGATGAAGTCATGCCATCTTTACTTCTAAGGAACATTCTTGTTGTGTTTCTTGTAGAGCTTTTAAAAATTAGTAGTAATTCCTTAATATCGTCAAATATCCAGTCATTGTTCAAATTTCCAACGGTTTTAAAATGTCTTGAGAACTTTTCCTTAAGTTTAACTTTTTTGTATCAGGGTTCAAATAAGGTTCACACATTTCAATTGGTTGCTAAGTCATTTATGTCTCCTTTAAACCGCAGGTTCCCTTCCATTCTTTTATTTTTTTTTTCTCTATAATTTATTTGTTGAGGAGAGTGGGTAGTTTATCCTGTAGATATATTTGTTTACTTTTGAACAGATAATACATTCACATGGCATAAAATTCAGAAGGTAAACACATGGTAAAGAGTGAAGAGCCTTCCTTTCCAGAAGTGACCAATGTTACTAGTATCTTGTATATTTTTTCTGAGATATTTTGTGCACATCCTAGAAAATGTGTTTGTGTATCCTTTTTTCTTTTTTATGTAAGTGGTAATATATTGTGCATGTTGTTCTGCACCTTGCTTCACTCAACGTGTAATTTTAGCAAATTTGCATTTTAGCAAATTTCCACATGTATTGTTTGGCATCCTATTAACTTTTCCCATGTATGCAATTAGCACATCACTACCAAAAAAACCTGTTGCTGTCGAGTCAATTCCGACAGAATAGAGTAGAACTGCCCCATAGGATTTCCAAGGAGCAAACTGCTGACCTTTTGGTTAGCAGCCAAGCTCTTAACCACTACACCACCAGGGCTCCAAGACATTAAAACCATTTCCATCCAGTTGATTCTGACTAATAGCTCCCCTATAGAACAGAGTAGAACTGCCCCCTAGGGTTTCTAAGGAGCAGCTGGTGGATTCGAACTGCCAACCTTTTGATTAGTAGATGAGCTCTTAACCACCAGACACCAGGGCTCCTCCAACACATTACTGCTCCCTAAAAATTAAGGGAAGCACACTATTCCTAGGATTATGTGATTCCACTGGAGTCTTCAACCCTGGAAAGCATTCATTTTTTCCATTTAATCGGCAAACATTTATTGAGCTGTCTCTTTGCTGGACACCGAGCCAGGCCCCTGTCCTGTAGTATCTTCCCTGGGGCCTGGACATCCGTGCTTGGCCCAGGGGAGGCTTTCCATGAGTGCTTGTTGAGTTTCCAGCCCCTCACAGCTCCCTGTGTGGCCTGAACTGGATTCACACTGTAGACTTTAGCTTTTCAGCTTCCAAATACCCTGGCTGAAGTTCCCTTTTCTATTCTGATCATGTAAATAAAGTGCTTGCTCACTCTTGTCAATGACATTGAAAAATGCACCCTTCTAAATAGTGAGATGATGAAAAATGCAAAGTAGATTATAGCTAAGGATATTTTTTCCAATTTAGAAAACCTAGTCCCTTTCCCTTGGTCTGTCATTAATATCACCCGTCAGTCTATTTATTGACTCTACATAGAAAGCTGAGTATTGAGCTGAAATTTCAAGAAAAATCTTGTCTTGGCCAAGCTTATAAGAGGAATGCAGATTTCTTTAAGGCTGTCTTTGAATGGGAAGAGGACTGAGAGAGTGTCTGTCAATGGGGCTGCAGTGGTTGGGATCCATCCATTACCGGGCAAAAGACCTCCAAGACAAATGGGTGCCTTCTCTGTATTCCTAGATCCTTACCCAGAGCCTGACACAGGGAGGACCACCTGGGCCTCAGTTTTCTTGTTTGCATTAATAATAACTCACAGAGCGGCTGTGAGTACCAAATGAGGCAGTGTCTGTGGGTGCACTTTGTAAACAGTAAATTATGTACTTAGTCTCTACAGTCAACACCAATGCGTTTTGTGAAGTGTTTAAGGAGTAAATGAGGTAATGTATTAAAATCACAAGCACTTGATCAACTGCAGAGCTATGCAGGTATGAATTTTTTCACCTAGTTCTGTTCCTTCATTTTAAAGATATAGTGACTTGCTAGTTATTGTCAGCCGGAGAGCAATACTGGGTCCCAGGCTGAGAGTCTTTGATCCCTAACCTGTCGTTCACAAATGTAATATTTTTTCTAGGTAGCTGATAGAGAAGCTAATGATCTGGAGTGGGGAAAGGAATGTGTAGGTGCACAGTTTACTCATTACCTGTTGGAGATGGTTAAATTGGCATTGATAATCATTACTATCAGGCATGTCGGGAGGCTGGACTAACCAGGGACATTGGCATCTGGCTCTGGGCTAGGATCCTCTGGTCTTGTTGGATGAAGACAACCCTGCCTTTGTCTTCTTTGATGAGCACACCACTGCCAAGTTAACGTTGCCTAGCATTGTTTTGAATTTTTACTGTAATAGCAGGACACTCTAGTGTAGGGATTTGACCTGCACTATCTCACTTGTGCCTCAGCATGACTCGTTGAGGCAGGCATTATTACCCTCATTTAATGAGCAAGGAAACTGAGGTGCAGAGAGATTCAGAAACTTGCTCAACCTCACACAGCTAGTAGTAAATGGTGGGACTGCAATTCGGGCCAGATCTGCCTGTCCCCAATGCTTGTGAATTTATCCACCCCACTCTGAGTGGCCTCACTACCCCACCATCAGGGCACACCCACAGAAAGGCATCTTGATGAAGCAGAAGTCTTTTTAGCACCAATTGTTCTGACCTATTTTCACAGGCCTGCTTGCAGAATACTAGAGGCATTTGTGGAAGGATTTTCCCATTTTCCTTAGATGTTAAAAAGAATCTGTGTTTTATAATCCCACCAATCTCTTGATCTAGCTTAGCCTAGGATTAATTGCATTTAAATTTGTATTTTCTGGACCAAATAAGCTTATGTCCATTGGAAAATACCACAGGTAATTGTGTTGCATTGGATGTTTCAGAGGGAGCAACAGAAGTTATGAGTCTTCTAATGGTATTTTCACTATCCATCTGAATGCTGAAAATCAACAGATAGGCCTGGTGTACCTTCTCTTTGGGGATCTTTCTTTCCTTCTACCACCTAGAACAGCCTGTTTTCTCTTTGAGTTATTTTTCTTTGTCAGACAGCAGTTTCTATAGTAGATTTATAACTTTTTGAACTGAGCAAGATGTTCTTTAAACAAACAGGGAAAAGGGTGAAAGAAATGTGGCATTGGAAAAGCTCTTCTGAGTGATGGAAAGCGGAAAACTTCCATTTGAATGAATAATTATTTGCCTGAACTTCCAGATGTTCTTTAAAATATCCAAAAGCTGCTGACAGCCCAGATCACATGGAGGTTTCTCTGTTGATCCACAGTGGCCTGGCAGTTACTCATAAAGGCCCCATACTGCTCAGCCTAATGTAATAATCCCCTGATAAGAAAATACTGTTCAGCTGATCAGAATGGTGATGTTTTAGGCTAACTCCTTTCCCACAGACACAGTCAATCAGCTGATATTTATGGAGAGCCCATTATGTGCTCAACATCCTAAGTCTCAGTCTGTGTAGAATTTAAACATGAGGATTGAATTAGAAGGGCACAGACCAGAATTCCCAGCAGAGATTAAGGAGAGATCAATTATCACTTTTACAGAGAGATAAGACTTGCAGTTCCTCTAGTTATGAAAGGGCGTTTACAAAATGGGAAGGCAGGAAATGGTGTGATTTTTAGGGCCTGGAGGCAATGGGTCGCCAGTGAAGATTCCTGTATTTGATTGTACAAAACTGTTTGGATGCCAAAGAGGGCTTATAGTGATGTTCAAGTGGTGAATGGCAGTACTTGTCCAACATCCCATGGGTGAGGCTACAGGTAACTACCCAAATGCTTCTCATACCTGCAGCCATACATCAGTCCCTCCCACACACAATACAGTGTGTAGGGCCCAGTGTGCGTGGCCAAGGCAGCGTATGCGCAGCACCATCTTCCAGCCATCACTCATTCCGGTGACTCACTCCTGCTGCTCCCTCTTGTCCTGCCTGTCCGTCTCCTGACTGCCTGGCATTGTTGGGTGTTGGCTGAGCCTGTGAGCCCAGCCTGGTATCTGCAACCCACCCCTCTTCACCTTCTCTTCCATTCCGTCATTTCCTATAGTTCCCCAGCTATGTGAAACCACCTCCTTCTTCTGGTCTCAAGGTAGGTGAGGCTATGGTTCATATGAAGCCTGTACCTTTTGATTATACCATATGGGCTGTTAGGGTAAGCTTCAGAATCCCCAGAGAGGGCAAGTTTCCTGCCCAGAGCTGCACAGCATGCTCAGATGGGGAGAATAATTCAGATGCCTTTGGTAACAAGTAGTGTGGAGATACAAATGAGATCCCCTCCCTCCTCTGATATCGAGCATTCAGCACCTCTGGGACTTTCTGCTTGGGTGGTGACCCAGAAGTTGGGGACAAGACTTTAGTTCTCACAATCAGCAAGACTGATGAGTAGAGCCTCTTTGGGGGCCCAGTGTTGGAAATGGCTTGTTTAGCATCCATTGAGTGACTATCCCACAATACCTTTTGCTTCATTTTTAGCCCAAGAGCCTGAGCACAAATCAGTCCTCCATCTTTATTTGCATGTAACGGGTAGTTTGTCTTCTAAGACTTGGACACTTGTCACAATGGAATCCAAGTGACCTCCTGTTTCTACTCACAGCATCTGAGGTATTTATAAAACAGGAGTAAAGCATGCCTTAAAATGCTGTATACCTTTGCCTTCAGAACCTTCTCTCCACATCTGAAGGGCAAGGAGCCCAGAGCTTTTTCAGCTTTCCAGCCCTGTGGTTAAAGGGTCTGGTGACCGAGCCCTGAGGGCAGCTGTCCTCCCACAGGCCACAGAATTCATCATCAGAGAGCCAGCAGACTGGGAAAGCAGGAGAGCAGTGAGCTCAGCCCTGCCTTTGGGGCAACTCATTGGAGTAATTCTTCTCCCTTGGGGCAGGGACTTGATGTCTGCCTTGCTGAAATGTAAGAGAGTCAGAGTTATAATGGGCCTCCTGTGTTAGTGCTTCCATTACAGGCGTTAAAGTGTGCATATTCACCAAGCACTGAGCCCTGGTGGTGAACTGGTTAAGAGCTCAGCTGCTGACAAAAAGGTCGGCAGTTCAAATCCACCAGCTGCTCCTTGGAAACCCTATGGGGCAGTTCTACTCTGTCCTGTAGGGTTGCTATGAGTCAGAATCGACTGGACAGCGATAGGTTTGGTTTGGTTTTGGTGCCTTGATCTGGCATTAAGGGCCTTGGGAAACCAGAATGTTGAGGAATGGGGAGTTCCAGTTATTTTTATTTTCTGATTAACGGAGTGACCTTTTCTGTTGCAGCTCTGGCTGCAAGTTTCTTTTCTTTTTTTTTAATTGTTGTAATTAAATGAAGTTTACATTTCAAGTTAGTCTCCCATACCAATTTTTTTTTTTTACATACATTGTTATGAGACCCCAACCGCTCACCCCATTCCACGAAAGCACATTCCTCCTCTCCGCCCGATTTCCCATGAACATTCAACCAGCTCCTAACTCTCTCTGCCTTCCCATCTCACCTCTGGACAGAAGCTGCCCCTTTGGTCTCTTGTATCTACTTGACTAAGAGGCACAATCTTCATGAGTATCACTTTATGTCCAACAGTCCAGTCCAATCCCTGTCTGAAGAGTTGGCCTCGGAAATTCTTTTAGTTCTGGGCTGATAGAGAGTCCAGGCTCCATGCTTTCCGGGGCGCCTCCAGTCTCAGTTAGACCATTAAGTCTGGTCTTCTTAGTAGAATTTGAGTTCTGCATCCCATCCTTCTACTGCTCCATCAGGGACCCTCTACTGTGTTCCCTGTCAGGACGTTCATTGGTGGTAGCCGGGCACTATCTAGTTCTTCTGGTCTCAGGCTGATGAAGTCTCTGGTTTATGTGGCCCTTTCTGTCTCTTGGGCTAATACTTTCCTTGTGTCTTTGGTGTTCTTCGTTCTCCTTTACTCCAAGTGGTTGGGACCAATTGATGCATCTTATATGGCCACTTGCAAGCTTGTAAGACCCCAGACGCCACTCTGGGTGCAAGTTTCTTCTCTGCCTTAGTGAGTTCATTGGGGTCAGTCGTTCTTCAGTCAAGGCCTGTGCCACACACTGGGTCTTGCTCTCCTCATCCCCTCGTTTCTTCCTTCTGGAAGCTTGTTTGCAGACATAGAAGAGTGGGTGGGATCCATGCTGGTCTCAGGACATGCCCTAGACGTTTCCTTTGTGCAATATATCTGGAGATGCACTTCTTTTCAGTAGTGTCCTTCTCAAAAGTTCCAGTAAACTAGGAGCTTGGGTTTGTTGGGTTCTTGTAAACTGAGATTTTGCTTTTTATGATACAGTATTTAATTCCAATATAATTTTTTAAATACGCTGTTTCAAGCTATCAGATCTCCTCATTGAAGTGCCTATCCTCTTAGAAAATTCTAGACTCTCCATAGAGGAAACACCTAGCTTATGATTTTTTGTTTGTTCCCAGCTGTGGATTGAATGGTTTCTTGGTGGTAGAGAAAATAATTTTGCTTGTGATTTTAGTAAATGCTTTGCATGTTCCTTCTCTAGTAGAAAGCATTACTCCTGCAACAGGGTTATTTGCTAATGGGAGAGGCCAGCTTCCCTTCAGTGTTTTAGTAAAGGGCGTATAAAAATGATCAATTAAATGCATGCGTTTAACTGGTGACTCAGTCTTCAGATATTTTTAGTTTAGTGACTTTGTTTTGTGAAAGTGGGTTAGCAGCCATTCTTGACATTTAAGTACAAGGTTCACCTTTTCGTGCAATGGGTAACTTTCCTCTGACTAGGAACTTGTAGGACTTTTTCTGAAATTTCAGCAGATTGGGCAGCTGGTTTGATTTGCTGAAGGAAAGAACCTAGGTACTTAGTGCATGGAGTCCCTGGGTGGTGCAGATGGTAATGTGCTCAGCTGCTAACTGAAAGGTTGGAAGTTTGAGTACACCCATAGGTGCCTTGGAAGAAAGGCCTGGCAATCTACTTTGGAAACATCAGCCGCTGAAAACCCTAAGGAGCACAATTCTTCTCTGACACACCTGGCGCCACCATGAGTCAGAGTCGACTTGACGGCAGCTGGTTTTTTACTCAGTGCTTAATGCACAAAAATAAGTGTCTCTTGGCATCTGTTGTTATCAGGGCCCTCCTGTAATTTTTGGCATGATGTGAAGAGGGTGAGGGAGTATTTCAAAACCTGGTGTGTTTGAGTAAACCGAAGACCCCATCCAACAGAACTCCTCTTAGGAGAAGTAACCACAGGCCTGAAACAACACAGACAAGCTGAGAGATGGCTCTGTGAGCTACTGGCAGGGGTGCCAACCCTGAGAGACTTAACACCTCAACGAGAAGTGAGAACAGGGCCCAAATAGGCCCAAGTAGTCAGGGGGTGAGCTCCCCCCGGGTGGCATAAATGGTTTGCATTTGACTACTGATGGAAACGGTGGTGGTTCTCAAACCCACCCAGCGGCATCACAGAAGAAAGGCCTTGGTGATCTGCTTCTGTAAAGATTACAGTCAAGAAAACCCTATGGAGCAGTTCTACTCTGTAACACATGAAATCGCCAAAAGTCAGAATCAAATTTTTTTTTGTGCTTTAGGTGAAAGTTTGGAGCCCTGCTGGCGCAGTTGTTAAGAGTTATGGCCACTAACCAAAAGATTGGCAGTTCAAATCCATTAGCCACTCCTTGGAAACCCTATGGGGCAGTTCTACTCTGTCCTATAGGGCCACTATGAGTTGAAATTGACTCGATGGCAAAGGGTTTTTTGGTTTTAGGTGAAAGTTTACAGAGCAAATTAGTTTCTCATTCCACAATTAATACACAAGTTGTTTTGTGATATTGGTTGCCAATCCCATGATGTGTCAACACTCTCTGCTTCTCCACTGTGGGTTCCCTGTTTCCATTCATCCAGTTTTCCTGTCCCTTCCTGCCTTCTCATCTTTGCTTGTGGGCTGGTGTGCCCATTAGTCTCGTATACGTGATTGAACTACAAAGTACATCCCTCACGTCTGTTATTGTTGGCCCTATAGACCTGTCTAATCTTTAACTGAAGGGTGAACCTCAGGACTGACTTCAGTACTAAGTTAAAAAGTTCTCCAGGGACCATACTCTCGTGGTTTCTCCAGTCTCTATCAGACCAGCAAGCCTGGTCTTTTGTGTGTTTGTGAATTTGAATTTTGTTCTATATTTTTCTCCATCTCTTTCTGAGACCCTCTATTGTGATCCCCGCCAAAGCAGTTGGTGGTGGTAACTGGGTACCATCTAGTTGTTCTGGACTCAGTCTGGTGGTGGTTGTGGTAGATGTGGTCCATTAGTCCTTTGTACTAATATTTCCCTTGTATCTTTGGTTTTTTTCAATCTGCTTTGCTCCAGCCAGTATCTTAGATGGCCGCTCACAGGCTTTTAAGACCCCAGACGCTACTCACCACAGTCAGATGTAGGACATTTTCTTTATAAACTATGCTATGCCTGTTGGGCTAGATGTCCCCCAAGACCATGGTCCCCAGCCCTCAGTCCAGTAGCTCAGTCCCTCAGGGCGTTTGGATGTGTCTGTGAAGCTTCTATGACTTTGCCCTGGTCAAGCTACGCTGACTTCATCCATAGTGCGTACTGTTTTACCCGTCACCAAAGTTACCACTTAGTCGGAATCAGTTTTGACAGGAACAGAGTTTTTTGTTTGTTTATTCAGGGCTATGCAGTTCTCAGTAGACTAGGACATACCCCAAAACCTTCTGGGAGTGCCTCTGCCACTTTCCCATCCTCACGGCTGTGACTGACTCAGAGAGTGCAAAGGAAAATCTCAAAAAGGGGTGGTTGGGCTTTCTCCGGGCAGTCTTCTCTGCGCTTGTTTCTCACCTCCTTGGAATGACTTTTGTTTTTCTGTGACAGTCTGACTTCTTAAGTGGCAGATAAGTGGGGGGGGGGGTGGCAGGCGGAGAGACTTGGACCTTCTCCTCTCTGCCTTCTCCCCTAAGGTGTTATGTTGCCTACATTTAGGGTTTACCACCTTTATCTAAGCTGCCATCTAAAAGGCTGAAAGATAGGGATGATGTGGGTGGAAAGAGGCCATGTTTTTGTCAGCATTCAGCTGTGGCCATCAGCTTGTCCTGACACTACTCACAGTGCGGTTTTGAGGAACAAAGCCTGCTGGAGGCATACTGTACTGGCCTATGGTTTTATTTTCGGGGATGGAAGAGGTTTGCTTAGAGAACTACGTGAGGCCAGAATGGATTTACCTAGCAGATGTACGTACCTATGGGGAAAAGGTACAGATGAGGGGGCAGTCTTTCCGTGGGAGAGAGGGCCCTCTTGGCAGGAGAGAGGGAGTGTGTGTGTGTGTGTGTGTGTGTGTGTGTGTGTGTGTGTGTGTGTCTCAGGAGGAAGGGATCCCTTTTCAGAACAGAAATAAGAACAATACATCTTGGAACTGTTTATGGGACTTGATGAGCACATACTAAATCCAGATCAAACCTGTTGCCATCAAGTCGATTCTGACTCATAGTGACCCTATAGGACAGAGTAGAACTGCCCCATAGGATTTCCAGGGAGTGGCTGGTGGATTTGAACTGCCGACATTTTGGTTAGCAGCTGAGCTCTTAACCACCGCACCACATACTATCCAGTGATTTATTAAGTCTAACATGGTTCCACTTTAGAAGAATCA